AATGGTGTTAGCTCTTCTGCAATAGTCTGTACTCTTCTGACTTTTAGTTTCTGTGTAGCCTAGGATAGCTTTGTTTTCCTTGTTTTGCGCATAGAGACCATGTACTTTGCGCTATATATGTCTCCAACCATTACCATTACCATTACCGTACTGTGTAATTTATGTTAACTGTAAATAAGGTATCTGACGATCATAATGAAAAACAGCATTATATTTGTTGATTTGTGCTTCGTGAATATATAAAGTTTTACTACATTTACATTGGTGCTCTAGTTGTCATGTTGGTGTTCTGGTGGAACTGAAATAAAAACTGTATATTTTGCTGTAGTTGTCGTTGTCATCTTCATCATCACTCTCGTTAGCAGAATCAATGTCATTAAAGAATTGAACAAAAATGATCATCATCATCATTCTCGTTAGCAGAATCAATGTCATGAAACATTAAAACAAATAATATAAATATTTGTATTGCAATTTCATTACAGATCAAGTCTGTGTTTAATCACTAATCGTCGTTTAATTTTACGGGCGCGTATAACAGTATTTTTAATGTATTTGTTTCTTAAACATTTTAACACATAGCAGGGGCTGATTCAGAATTTTTCAAATAGGGTGGGGGTGGGGGACACAAGAATTTCAGAACAGATAAGCGAGTAAAACATAACACTGATATGCATTGAACTTTTACTTCGCTCATATTTTTTAACAGTTAAACTAAAATAATACACCGAATAATTAAACATCTTTTTTTATTATTGGCATACCGGTATGTAAAGAGACTCTGATTCGTGTAACTAATCTTTAATAAACCTACGAACGCTGTGTTTTGCACCATATTTGTAGCTAGAATGTCTTTGGAATACTGAAATAATTGATGTATAACCTTGTAATATGTTACACATATAATTAGAAAGCCATGATTTTTACATCTTGTTTTAATACAGTAATATTTATAGTAATTCATTTAAATTGAAGTGCAGACTATCATTTTAACTGACTTAACTGCTGAGGGTTAACCCGGTTACTTTATAATTTTTATAGGCCTATTATAGATTGAAGAACAACACTGTATTATAAATTGACTAAGAAAGATGTCTTTGCAATATACCGGTATGTAATCAAATTGTTGTTTGTATATATATATATATATATACTGTCTCTTATACACATCTAGATGTGTATAAGAGACAGGAGAAAAACCTACAAATGCAATAAGCATCTTGAAGATAGAGTTTACAAACACGGGCTGACCTGGTTTCAAATTTGGGGGGAGGGGTGTCAGGGGCGGATCCAGGATTTGAGAGAGGGGGTTCAAAATGTTTTAAAAAAAAACCCAAAATGAAAGGGGTCCGATGTCCTCCCCCGGGAAATTTTTTATTAGTAGATGGTAATAGTAAATGAGCTTTCCCCACTTTTGAGGAGTCTTTTAAAGGACCTTTCAGTTCTTCAAAATTCAAGGTTTTTCCCTCTTGAAACCAGTTAGTTAAACCAAACGTTCTCACTCTTATTACAGTAGGCCTATTTATGTGTGTATATATGTACATAAAAAAATTGAGTCGCAGGAGGGTCCGGCGGTCCTCCCCTGGAAAATTTTGATCCCTTGATAGCAGGAAATTGGCTTTCCCGACTTCTGAGCTGTCTTTTAATGACTTTAAATTCTTAAAATTTTAAGGTTTCCCCCCTCTTGAAAAAGGTCAGGTAAACTTCTCATTCTTATAAATACTAGTAGACCTATTATGTGTGTATATTCATACATATTATTCTTTCCATCGATCAACCACAAAGAGGAAGGGACCCCACCCCCCTCCCCCCAAAAAAAATATAAACAAAAATCCGCCAGTCGGGGACTGCATAAACACTCTTTTTCCCCTCCCTCTCTTCTCCTTCTTCCCTCTTTCTTTTCTTGCATTTCTTTTCGATCATACAAAAATCTCTATAGACATATATTTTCAGCCACAAAGTGGGGGGGGGGGGCGGGCCCCCAGGTTCCGCTGGCCATGTATAACACATTACAAAAACAAAATATTTAATTACACAGACATAGTATAGTTGAGCAGCAAAAGCGAAGCCACTGAGTTGTTATAACCAAGGAACAGTAAAATTCAGTGTTCCCTGGTTATAACCAACTATGATCAGTCTCAGCAGTAGAGTATCAGCCCGTTTAAAACTCAGTGTCGGTAGTACACTACTCCCGGAGGCATGCCTCCCGGACGGACCGAACGAACGAACGCGAATTTCGCCTCCTGCGAGGACAGGACCGGACAGGATTGAGGACCTGGCCAAAACCATTTTCAATGTGTGGTTAAAAAAAAACAAAAAAAAAACAAAAAAAAACAAACGAAGAGGCAGCTGCAGTGTGCGCATAGCATATGATTTATTGGATACTCAATCAATGGACGAATTCATTTTCATTATGTGGTATCCACAGTTATTGTGGCTGGTTTAATTCAGATTTAAAGTTTTTTTTTCTTCTGAAGTCAAAATTATGCTAATTTTTCTCTAAAATTATGCCAGCACATATGCTGATACTAAATGGGTCTAATTATGCCAAAAAATGTTATGTTCGCCTATGTTTGGGGTCATGACAGTAAAGAATTATCTTGTCTTATCTTATCTTATGATTCACATGTGGTTGTTTGTTGACAGTCATAAGTATATTACTATGCTTGTGATATTATATTGGCTGGATGTATTGCGTAGATAATTGTTAATAGGCCTAATTGAAAATCATAGCGATACAAAATAATAACAACATATAGATATTGAGAAAGACATAATGGCTCATATCTGTGACAAAACATTGAAAAAGACATAAATATCTGGAGCTACTTTGTTTCAAGTATGCATCCTTCTGAAATTACATTGTGGAAAAGTGCCGACAGGGACTAATTTAAATCAGTTTTTTTTTTTATTAATTATTAATAAGTGACGCAATTTTGGAAAACACCACATAGCCTATTGCCTGCCCAGTACTTATGTGAACATCTCTGGCTCTATATGAGCCACCGTGATGGATTTGGTGTCCTTTTCCACTATATTTGGCAATACTAATACACTGGAATGGTTAATGTAGCATTTAAAGATCATCCTGACCTATAACATTCAAGATGGCTGCTGTCCGCCATCTTGAAACCGCAAAAATGTATTATCTCGGACTCTACATAAGTTATAATGACAAATAGGATGTTATTTCCTCTAAATTTTGCTTTACCAGTATGCTGACATGACTACTGAGGAGTTTTGAGGTCCCCCTGAACATTGGGTCCAGGATGGCACTGTCCACCATCTTGAAAATATGCCAAACAGTAATAACTGGAACTAGATGAGCTAGAAGGACAAGTGAAATGCCATTTCTCCTAAATTTGACATTACCAATTACACTGGAATGGTTATTATAGAGTTTTAAAATCATACTGACATCCAATGTGGCCACTGTTCAATATCTTGAAAATATTCCAAACTGTAACAAGTTTGCTAAATGTTGCTTTACCAATACACTGACATGGCTATTGAAGAGTTTCAAAGTCCACCTGAATAATGAATCTAAGATGGCTACTGTCGACAATCTTGAAAATATGCTAAACTCTAATATTCTGCCACTGCTGTTAGGCTTCAAGGTTGAATGAGTGCGATTTTCCCCTTCTTGTAAAGTTTCAAAATTATCCAGACCTACAATTCCAAGATGGTTGCTTTCCACTATCTTGTAAAAACGCAAAATTGCAATATGCTTGGCTCTAACTAGAAGGAAAATACGGATGCCATTCCTCTAAATATTACTGTAACCAAAACACTGAAATGACTATATTTTGAGAACTTCAAAGTCATTCTGACCAATAAAACATTCTTGAAAAAATGCAAAACTGTAAAATTTCTGCCACAAGATGAGCTAGAAGGACCAATGAGGTGTCTTTTCTTCTTAAATGTTGACTTTAACAATACACTTTAATGTTTTGTACACTCAATAGTTTCAAAATAATCCGCATTGGATCTGCTTGTCATTTATATAAAATACACAAAACTGTAGGGGTCATTCAAGTATTATGTAACACATTTTTTGGTAAATATTCACACCCCTCCCCCCCCCCGTAACACTCTGTAACACTTTTCCAAACCCCCCTCTAAATGTTATGTAACTCTAGAACCACCCCACCCCCCCCTTTCCAAACATCAACAATTTTAATAAAATCAGATGAACAACATTAATTATTAGGATAAATGTCCTCCACTACAAACTTGTAGGATGTTTTGTTATTTTTTGATATGGTAGATGTAACTTCATTGTTTATTGATTTCACAAATTCAACACAACCGTGTTACATTACATTGTATTACACTGATGTAATATGTTTCAATAAAGTAATATCATACAAGTTTGAATATTTAATATTTCTTTTCTTCCCATGAAAATTAATTTTGTTATGTAACACTTCAAGCAACACCCCCACCCCTATGTCACACACTGTAACATTTTCCACTTTACACCCACCCCCTCTGCGTTGCATAATACTTGAATGACCCCATATATCTGGCAGTGGAGGTGTGGTGGAGGGGGGGGGGGGTGTCTTTCCAAGTTTCCTATAGTATCTTTTTGAGATAACTTATCTCAAAATAAGAAATGAATGCCGTAATATTCGTCGGAAAGACAAATTTTCAAGAAGATTCATCTCAGAAAAACGGAATTCCCAAGATAAAGTATCTTGAATAGAAGACAGTTGGCATTCTTGATATTGGTCAGTATAATTTTAAAAACTATATTAAAACTCTACAATAACCATTCCAGTGTATTCGTAGGTCATAGGTGTAAAATGGTCGAAGAACCCCCCAAAATGACACTACTAACAGAGAATAAATAATAAATTAACTACGATTAACATCACAGAACGAAATTTGGTAAAAGTACAGTAAATGGCAATAATATTATCAGATCAGATCATAGAGCTATTCTTATTATATTTCTATGGATCAGATGCAGAGCAAAGAAACTAGAGAGGGAGGTATTCATAGTTATTGATAATAATGGTTGATTTGATTTGCGCGGGAGTAGTAGTACGAATTAAGGCTTCTTTACACAGTCAAAAGCCATGTCAGAGAGAAGCTTAGAACAAGTGCAAAGTGATAATATTTCAAATTGTATAATACAATCAGATGTTCCGTCAGTTTGCAAGGAAGAGCCCTGCTGTCTTGGAATAGATGAGGCTGGAAGGGGTCCAGTTTTAGGTAGGCCTTCGTCCCCAGCAGTGAGTGTCAGGAGGCTTGCTAGGCCTGGGCATAGGAGTACTACTAGGCTAGGCCTAGAAGAGGCTAGGCTAGCCTAGTTAGGCCTAGGCTTAAACCAAGACTCCTGTGTAGGCTGGTTTCGGTCCGGTCTGACTTCATTTCTTATCGTACATAGGTAGGGCCTAGGCTATAGTAGTAAGCATTTCTTTTAGGGTAGGGACTAGGCTAGGGGCCTGGCATAAACTACAACAAAACAGCTAGGCCTAGGCAGGCAGTTAGTTAGGCCTAGGCCCTAGGCTAGGCCTACTCACTTATAATGTAGGACAGGTATTTTAGCACTTTAAAGTTTAATTATAGGGTAGGCTAGGTCTATAACTAAAGTCTCTGGGCCTAGGCCTAGCTAGGCCCCTGTCTGTACCAAGCCTAGCCTAGGCTAGTTAGGAGGTATAAGTAAGTAAATCATTACAGTATAGCCTATACCTATCGTTTAGTTTGGAATGTAATTTTTTTTTTTTTGTAACTTCTTAGGCAGTGGCTCTTGTTATAGCAGTCGTAAACCAATTCCTAATTCTGTATGTTCATTGACTTCTGTGTATGGATGGACAATAATAACATTCGACCAGTTTTTTACATTTACATTAACTATCAATTATTTTGAAGCAGAAAGGATGATGGGCGCTAATACGGTTTTGCATCTGGCCCTCAAAACAGTTACCAAATTATTTAAAACTTACAATTATTCAAAACTAACATGTTCTTTTATGATCTGACTTTCAAATATGCCACTTATTATTTCATAATTATGGTTTCTAATTCAGTTAATTAACCAATAATTAGGACGGTATATCGATAGTAACACAATCAACTGAGCTCCGCCGCACCACGGTTGACAACTGGAGGTTCCCAGTGTCTGTCATATAATTTTTGCCCAATTGTAATTTTTGTGACCAATTATTTCGCTGCATTAGGATTTATTTTGTAGTTTTGTCTCTTTGTATAATGTATTTTTCTTTATGAAGGTAAAATAAAAGCAAAATGTAGAATAACATTTTGAGTGGGCATTCGTACTATTTGCACTTAGGCACGCTTAAACTCAGCACACATCTATGGCTACCACGGTATATTTTTGCCCCGATTCTGGCAACACCGCAAAGTTGTTGAC